TAAATGGAAGAAGCTTGTAGTCGACTGCTCCGCAGCCGAAAGATGATGATGATGATGAGTGGCTTGCAACTTGTGCAAAGCCTGACTCCTTCGATACAGTGACACGGGTGTAAGATAACGGAACTGCCGGTTACATAACGGCGTTTGTTTTGAATGTGCTGCAGTGTGACAGATTTGTTAAGTACAGGCATGAGAATGGACTGAGAGAAAAAAAACTGAAAATATAATGTACCAATGCGAAGCGCAGCGAGCGAAGCGAGCGTAGCTCTCGCGGCTCACGGCCGGGGGTCCAGGGGCCCGCCTTAGGGCCTGGGTTTTAGCAATTGAAAAAGCTCCTGGGTTTTAGCAATTGAAAGGGCAATTGGAAGCCATTCTGGAGTACCAATTTTTATAGAAAAAGGAACTAAAAATGTAAGAAATTTTACTAATAAACTTCTATATTCTGTTTACTACATACATGTATTTCAATAGTACATGTACATGTATGCACTTTCAGCTTGAAAATGACAACCTCAACCAACTTCATGGCTCATACCAAGTTACAATGAGTAATGTATTTGAATATAATACAATTTAAACATTTTGTTCTGTATCTCAATACATGAAATGCTGACTTTACAAACAATTTGTGGTGGACAGCCACGTTTTATTTTCATTTCAAAAACAAAACCAGCCATCTCCCTTTCCTACCTTATCAGCTCTGCTTTTAGCTCTCTGGTTCCATTTCACTTGCAATTTGCCGTAAATGTAACACTAAACATAATAGTACCGTAATTTTCGGAATATAAGCTGCGGCTTACTACTTTGATTTTGCCCATGAAAATGTTTACTGCGGCTAGTTATACGCAGGGCAGCTTATACGCCGAGCCTTGAAGAATAAAAATAAGACATGTGTAGTTAATGTACTGGTATAAGAAAAGAGGTGTTGCTGAAATGAATTATCAATTAAGAAAGTCATTAACACACCGGAACTCAAAAGGTATCGAGCGGTAAAAAGTACGGTGAAAGCTGTCTTCGACGCTTGCCACTTAGTCGTATGTGATATGGAGGAATCCTCCATGGCATGCATGATAGTGCAGCTGCATGATGCATGTGCTTTCCCTAGCGGACCACACCATTTGTGGTAATGAAGGGGTGTACTTTCTTGGGAACAATTATTACCAATATTTCCGCTGTTAAAAAAAAAAAAGACAACTAATACTTTTTATGGTGTTCAAAACATTTCTTTATTAAGTAATATATTTTTTTTCTTGAAAAACAGGGACTAAATCACCCCTTACAAAATTAATGGATTCATCCCTAAAAATATCAACTTCGTTTCCTACGGCGCTAGAGGTTCTTTGGTTTTGACTAATAATTTTTGAAGAAAGTTATGAAACTTGAATTTTTAACGTTAATACTCACTAGAAATCACAAAAATGTGATAGTTTTTGCATGGTTTTTGAGGTAAAAACAGACATGTTCATTCTTAAGACAAAACAAATCAGCATCTGTTGCCACGAAAGCAAGATTTGTAGCACTCCAGTCAGACAACACATGGGTGTGTTACATACTCTCTCACGTAGATTTACAATGTATATCCACCATGGCTGACTGATGTTGGGTGATCATTTACTCGGCTCTGATTGGTCAATACGCGCTATCTAACTGGATACGCGGAGCTAACTGGATCATCGGGGAACACTCCCGTGTCGTATTCATTTGTGAACGCAAATGAATAGAACATTGCGATGAAAGAGTCCCGGGCACGATGAAAAAATATTTTTCTGACTTCTGAAGTTCCAAGCACTCGAAATAACTTCTAATTATGAGGAAAATTCCAGGTCCTGACTGGAAATACATGTGTGACCCCTCACCCCCCCCCCCCCAATTTTATTTCAAATTCACATTGAACTCGGAGACCACAAATTTTGATGAAAAATAAACGGAATTCCGTTTAAAAACGGAAAATTCTCATGCCTGTAAGTAGCAAAATACCGGTATCATGCTTATAGTTCGGTAACTTGTAGCGTAGATAAGTGGTGAGCCGCTTAAAATTCGTGCGACGCTCCCTCTTGTAAAGCCTGACTCGTTTGGTACAGCGTGTGTGACTTTCAGCCCGTGACGCAAACGGTCATGACATGTACTTGCAGCCTGTGCAAAACAACCCACTTGCTCAGTATGACATGAGTTACTTGCAGCCTGTGCAAAGTCTTGTTAAAAAATGGTTGTATAAATGTAGGAAGCGAGTATCTTACAACCTGTGTAGAGCCTCGCTAGTTGGGTACGGTGTGAGTTACTTGCAACCTGTGTGAAGCCCCAGGGACATGGTCTTGTAAAAGCCGTGTAAGTGAGCGACCAGCAACTCTGTGCTGTGCTAGGCTTCACTCCCGAAATGTACCAATAACGACCAAAGAAATACCGCGAGAAAACTGACCAAACATCACAAAAACTCACTAGTTTTGTAGAAACGACAACAGAAGACAAAATAGTTAAATAAAAACCATGAAGTTAGCTAAAGTGAATTGCTGGAGAAAGAAGAAGTACTGTATGAGCAAATCAAGAGCTCGGTAAAAATACATCTTTCACATAGCGCCGCTAAGCGAAAAGAGGAAGATGGCGGGCGGGCTGCAAGGTACTGTGGGTAGTAAACAGAGTTGTAGCGAGTCACTGATTTTTGTGACTCGAGTCGAGTTGAGTCATTTTAAAGAAGTGACTCGAGTCGAGTCGATTCATTTTAAAGAAGTGACTCGAGTTGAGTCGAGTCATTAGGTTGAAAGGTCGAGTCGAGTCAAGTCAAGTCAAACATTTAGCTCGAGTCAATTCAAGTCACGAATATTTGAACACTATATACCAAAATTTATAAAAGGAGGCCATAAGTTTAGCCAGCGTTCGAATCCAAGAGCTGATGAAACAGCGAAAATCTATTATAAGATAAAATTTTGCGTCGGGTGATATAAATCAAATTAGGTTTGCCCTTCTTGCGTTTATATGTCGGTGAAGGGCAAACTAATTTGATTTATATCATCCCGACACAAAATTCCATCTTATAATAGTTTATGCGGTACCCGCTGCTATGTACATCAGATTCGAACCAGCCAACCGACCCCGTTTGCTCGGTTGAGTGGTAAGACATCTGCACTAGAAAGCAGGAGGTCGTGGGTTCGAGTCCCACCCGAGTGATTTTTTTCAACTTTCACTGGGGAGGTAACACACTGAGTAAACAGTGTTTAAACGTCGGTGAAGGGCAAACCTAATTTGATGAAGCGAAAAATCTGGTTCCTGGATAGTATTTTGTGCATTCTAGAACCATGAGGTGGGAGTCTGTGACACGTTGTATATTTATATATGACTAATTCGCAAAGCGAAGTGAGCATAAATTTTGCAACGTAAGTCATTGCAAATACTTTTCGCAAAGTTGTGCTTTTATTTTTGGGACTCGAGTCTTATTAGCCTCGGTTCGAGTCAAGTCGAGTCTTTTGATGAAGGACTCGAGTCGAGTCATTTGCTCACAGTGACTCGAGTCGAGTCGAGTCATTTATCCTTAGGGACTCGAGTCGAGTCGAGTCACCAAAAATTGTGATTCGAGTCGGACTCGAGTCGAGTCATTGACTCGAGTCATTACAACTCTGGTAATAAATCTTAGCGAATGGCAAGCACCCTCTAGGAAATAATGCACATGTAGCAATTCTCTACAGGTAAGTAGAGCGCAGTAGAATTCCACACTAACTTCTTGTCATATTAAGCAAAATCATTTTATTTGGATACAAAGTTGTAACAATATAACCTTGCAAAATTTGTCAAGATGAACATTTCTCAAACACCCCACATACCAGTGCAATTCAGATGAGCGATCTTTGCAAGAGCTGATTAGTTTAATATCTCTCCCTCCAGAGTGTTACTTGTTTTTTTTAATTTTATCGGCAATTCCAAAAAAAAAAAAAAAATAATGATTGAAATAAATAAAAATAAAAGCTTGTTGTCTTTTCTGTCTTCACAAAATACCTCTCAACAACCCATTTGCGTCAAAAAACGCTTGTATTTATTGTTTTCTTACTTACATTTGCTATTTTTTTAAAAAGAAAGCAAATTCGCTCCGCGATCTGTCATCATACCTCGCAATTCGATGTCACGGTGACTATAATCACGTGCGTAAACCTTGCTCAATGCAGTGACGACTGGTTCCCGCCGCGCCGCGCAGGGGCCAATTTAGAAGACATGATGAAAATGCGGTAACCAGTCGGTCATATGCGATCGCTAGCGCTAGCATGGCTATGCATTAGGCACGTGCACTGTCAGTGTCAACTGGTCGGATTCGACATCGTAAAAATGCCACGAAAACACCGATGGAGAAAGAACATTTTTGCAAGTTAATTCACAGAATTGATCTATCTTGTCTGTGTATGTATTTTCCGTGTTCAAAAGTTCATTTTGAGATCGCACTACTCGTATTTGGAGTGATACCTGCAGTGTGTTTCCCGAAATGTTTGACCGTAAAACGAGGTCTGTCGGCCGCGGGCCACACATGCACAGTGCATCACACAATTCGGAGTTTTGGCCAGCTTCCCATCTTGACTAGCGTTGTGCATATGATGCGAACGGCCTGAATTTTCCATTATTTTTTAAGAATTAGCGAACATAAATATATTGACAATAATTAAGGTAGGTTTTATTCACTTTTCGTGGCCATTTTGTGTATAGCTTTCGTAGTGCAATGGAAATAGTTCAGGCTAAAACTTCCCATATAATTGAATACCCCATTCAATCTGCATTAAAAAAATTGGCAAATTTTTTTTTTTTTTTGACCGACCGACCCTATTTTTGAAAGGCATGTAATCGGAAGCTGAACTTTTTTTTTTTCGGCCCAAGTCCTGTTCAACATTAATCCAAAACAGAACTATTATAAAAAAATGCATGTTTAGGGAAAAAAGATTGAGTCAATTATACAGTCTGGGTGGATGTTAACATTTCCATGTAATTCAAATCAAACATTGTAAGTTCATGTCATGATATCTACTAACCTTATTATCGACTTTCCTCTCAGGGAATGAATCACCTCAGGATAAGTTCTCATAAGAAGATCACCATGTCCCAGCTGACCTTTGTTACCTTCTCCCCATGAGTAGACATCACTCTCAAATGTCACTACAACAATGTGTGTTTGGCTGACTGCAACCTGAAATGACGATTAACATAATAATTTGGCATTTAATTCCATTAATATTGCAGATCAGTTGATCATAACACATGAAAACAGATTGTTTTTGTAATTTGCATGACAAAAAATATAATTTTCAAAAGAAAAAACAATACTGCAAGTGAGACTTGCATGATTTCCCTAACATACTGGCAGTTTTTATAAAGTCAGTTAGTATGGATACTTGTCAGTGTCCCTAACAAATGGAATATTTCTATTGTTTTAGCAATAGTGACCTTGACCTTTGACCTGTTGGCCCCTAAAGCAATAGGCTTGATAAGACTACCAAGAGCAATCCACGTACAAACCAAATTTCAAATTTGTATGTAAAGTATTTCTCAAGTTACCACATTGACAAGATTTCTTGTTTTAGCAATACTGACCTGTCGGCCCCAAAGGCAATAGGCTTCTTAAGACTATCAAGAACAACCCACAAACCAAATTTCAAGTTTCTAAGTAAACTATTTCTCAAGTTATCGTGCTGACAAGAGTTATCCTAATCAAAACATGACACACAGACACACACATTTGTTAATGGTGAAAATCAAGGATTTTTAGTTGCTCCTCTTCCCTTTTCCTTTGTTTATACACGTTTTCCAACCAAGGAAATTCGGTTTCTGTCCTCGTTTCATCAATGATGTAGCACATGTGTGTCCTCGTTTTACACCATAAACAAATGCAGATACAAATACTGAAATTTGTATCCTTGTGGAGTCACTTCTTTGTTCTCCTGTACTTAAGTTTTCGAGTTTGAAAGTGTACTTTCAAAATGCTCCTATTTTAACCAGAATGAATTTCCTGAGCTGAAATTCGGACTTAATATCCCTTGCATTAAATACTTCAATTTGTGACAGATCAACACACTTTGGAAATTCCTATTTTCTGAGTAAAATCCATATATCTATTTCTTGATAACCTTGTGGAGACTATTCACCTATAGAAATTGCTCTGTGGAGACGTATACAATCTTTTGTTTCCTATTGCGCACATGTCTCCAGAGGGTACCGTGTAACAGATCACACATGCAAGTGTGTATTTGCCTGCAATCGGGGACCTATTGTCCCTCTTTTGTTTGTACTAACTTTTTAGGAAGACCTCCCATATGTTTTGTACACATCGCCAAATTGGGGACCCTTCGGGCATTGGGGAACCTATTGTCCTCTATTGTTCAACATCCCCTATTGAATGCAGAAACAAACTCACATACACATTATTTGAAGTTCTCTCTTTATTATTCGAAGTCATTTCTCGAATAATAAAGAGAGAACCAGCCAACCGATCCCGTTAGCTCGGTGGTCGAGTGGTAAGACATCTGCACTAGAAAGCAGGAGGTCGTGGGTTTGAGTACCACCCGAGTGATTTTTTCCAACTTTCACTCGGGAGGTAACACACTGAGTATACAGTGTTTAAACATCGGTGAAGGGCAAAACCTAATTTGATTTATATCACCCAGACGCAAAATTCCATCTTATAATAGTTTATGCGGTACCCACTGCTATGTAGATCAGATTCGAACCAGCAGTTTTTCCTTGCTTTACACCGCTGTGACCCGGGTTCGGATCCTGTCTGGGCCAATATGTGAATTGGGTCTTCAAGTCCCTGTCTGGTTCCTCCCACCTCTAAAACTGTAATAAGTAAGGAATCCTTGGTTTCCTTACTAGAAATAATTAATAATCATAATAATAGATGGTACGAGCACACTCTTCCGCCAGTTGCAGAAAATGATGTCATGAAGCTGTCGGCGATCAGGAAGTACTAACAGATCGTACCATAATGGCTAACAAACCTGACACCATCGCCATATAGACAAACCACGATGTGAGGCTAAAATCATTAAAGTCAGCATTACTGCAGACGGCAACATCAGAAGGAAGTTTGCAGAGAAACGAGACAAATACCAAGACCTGAGGATGGAGATCCAGAAAATGTGGCATGTCAAGGCCACCATACATCCTGTCATCGGTTCAACTGGTCTTATGTTGAAGGAAACAGTCCAACAGGCTGAACACCTTGGGGTACAGACACACCTGGCTGATAAAGCCATGTTTACTAAAAATAATAATACATGTACTAATAATAATTTGCTTGCAATACTAATGTCAATGTCAAAATGTTTTCTTTCCATAAATTTTCTTTCCAATAAGTATGGGAATTTCCTTGAATTTTTCAAGTCTCCCACGTTAGGCAACCCTTCACTAATTAGGTCAATTAACAGTCACCTCATTTTTCCCCCTTGTTTGTTTGCTGGGCTAAATATCACAACGTTATTACTGTTCACATTATTTTCCATAAGGTTTTAATAGGGTAACTGTGCCAGTAAGTAACTTGGTGAATTTGAAGCTCATCAATACTGAGGTTTGGCAACACTACTTGAAGATATCGTTTTGGGTATAATAGTAGACATTTTGGATTGTTACTATGTCCTCATAATTATTCAGTCACTTATATGCTTTAGAAAATGTTATTGAACTAAGGATTTGTAAGTGGAATCACCAAAATAAAATTTTCAAAAATTAAAAAATTAAAAATATACCCAAATATGGGGGGAAAATATATTACATGGCTGGTATTAATGATTATGCAAATTAGGTATATTTAGGGTCGAAATTAATGATGGCATCCACCCACATTTTGTTTGTTATGCTTCAAAGAATTGATCTAGCATGGATGCCAGCTATTACCAAAAAATGCCGTGATATTATTTTCTAGAGAACTTTTCCACATTTAGCTGACCTACTATTTGACTAGAAAAGTACATATGTCCATTAAAAACATGTGCCGTGTTTACATGTGACAGGCAACTAGTCTATTATGGTAAAAGGTTAACTCGTGTAGTGGCTGACATGTTGTAATTTGCATGCGATGTGACACAGTGAAACCGAACACAATTTGCAGAGAAAATAGCTATTTGTCTGCCGTCTGTTATTGGTTTAATCAGGAAACTGTAGAACATAACACTGGCAACTAATGGATAAAACAGTATCCCACTTTCACCTGTTATTCAGAGCCTGCGACCTCGGGCCACGATGGGAAAGATGGCTCATGTCATTTGAAATGTATGCAGACGGCAAAGGCCATAGCGCCAGAAGTCAGACAAAGACGGTGTGTGTTGTTGCTTCATCAAGAGGCTACTGACTACAATGCAGCCAAAACTACTACTTACCTACTATTACCCATAAGCAATGATTTGACTAGAAAAGGAGCAATGATTTGACTAGTAAACCATAAACAGTATGGTTTGGCTACGTACGTGAGAGAAGATGTTCCTGCTTCCGAGCTATGTTCCTCTAGTGCTGACAGTAATGTCTACTGGAACGCCATCCGGATAAGGGATCAAACCATCGTCAATGTGTACAAACCCCTGTGTCAGAATGGTTATCACCGGCCCTTCCTCCGTTTCCGACACCTGTCCTCTTTTGTGGAGACTACAACTCTCAACATACATCGTGGGCATAGAAGCGAGATGAACCAAGTGGTTCAGCCCTTGTTGACTGGGCTAGTCGGAATGACCTCATGTGCCTTTTTGATCAAAAACAACCAGCCTCGTTCGGTGCACACTTGACCAAGTCCTCAATCTCACCGACGACATCGAGGCTTCGTTCCAGCACAAAATGAAGGTGGGGGCTGTATTTGTAGATCTTACAGCAGCCTATGATACCATCTGGCACCGTGGCTTAGCCCTAAAATTACACCGATGCCTTCCCAGCAAGCATTTCATCAAGATGATCATGGAGCTCATCACCAACCGGTCTTTCACGCTCCAACTTGGAAACAAGAAGAGCAGACAGCGCTGCTTACGCAACGGCCTACCCCAAGGATCGGTCCTTGCACCAACGCTCTTCAACATCTACACGGCAGACCTTCCATTTACCACAAGCAAGAAGTACATCTATGCTGACGACATATGCCTTGCAATCCCAGCAAAGACCATTGATGAGCTGTCAGTTACCCTTACCAAGGACATGGAAGCCCTGGATGCCTACTTCCACAAGTGGCATTTAATTTTGAGTGTTGGGAAGACCGTTGTTTCAGCTTTCCACCTAAACAACAGACAAGCAAAGCTGACCCTAAGTGTATTCCTGGGTGAAAAAAAGCTGGACCATGCTAACAATCCAACATATCTTGGTGTGACCCTGGATAGGTGTTTGTCCTACAAAACTCACCTTGAAAAGCTGAAAAAGAAAGTAGGCACCAGAGTCAACCTCATCAGGAAAGTAGCTGGAACAAAATGGGGAGCAAACGTGCCCACCCTATGGACGTCCAGTCTGGCCCTGGTATACGCACCAGCTGAATACTGTGCCCAGTCTACTGTGCAAGCTCTCATACGCCGAAGTTGGACACAGAACTGAACGCCTCCATGAGATTAGTCAGTGGGACAGTCAAATCGACCCTCATATCCAGCCTCCCAGTACTGGCAAACATACCACCACCTCACATTCGACGTGAAGCTCTAACTGCCAAGACAGCCTAGAGAGCTGCAGCCAACAGCAATCATCTCCTACATAGAGCTGTGACAGGTGATCCTTCACCAACTCGGCTCTCATCCCAGTCTCCGTTCTCAATGAGGGCTCGCCCTTACCTTGCAGACCAGGATATACCACAAACAAGGGATCGCCGCAAAACCGCTGCTGATCAACTCATCATTGAGAAATGGTCCGCAGAGTGGGAGAATGACGACAATGCCCTCAAAGAACTCCAGTCACCTTCTGTAGTACCAGCTGGACCTCCCCAGACGAAGCTGGTGTCGCCTTTACCGGCTGCTCACAGGCCACGAGCGTACTGGCCACATGCTACACAAATGGCATATGAAGCCAACACCTGAGTGTGACTGTGGGGCTGCTGATCGGACAGCAAGGCACACTGTCAACGAGTGCCCAATCAGAAAACTGGACGGTGGCATCGCTCGTCTAGCCAGCTGTGACCTGATCACGACACTGTGGCTGTCAAACATGGACCTTGACATTTGATTCTGCATACGA